AATGTAACAAATGACTATCAATTTTTGTAACTTAAGCCGAATTTTGCCAAATCATATGACCGAATCAGCTGAATGTTAACTGAATGGCAGTGATGTACATTTTTGATGTCTCAAACATTTTGAGACTATCTCACACTATGTTCCAAAATGTTTCACATTAAGTCCAAATGTCTCAGCCCATGTCTCAAAAATGTCTTATGATAACACTGCTAAATGGTATTAATGCTGAATAAAATGATTTTGACTAGTATAAGTTACAACACAATTGTGACATTTTTTAGTAATTGTGACACTATCTTTAGTATTAAATTTTATTAAGATTTAATTGTTTTTGTATTTTAATTAATCAAGAAAATATATATTATTTATAAAAAATATTTAATTATAATTCAAGTTTAAAAATAATCAATTTCAAATATTTTTTTATAATTTTATAATAATTATTTAAAATAATAATTTAAAAATATAGATTATTATTAAATTATATAAAACAAATTATGTTTCAATATAATCACAATATAAAAAAAATAATATTTATACAATTGGATTAAAATAATCGATTTTTTATGCCTTTTAAGACTTCCATGATTTTTTTCAAATGCACTTTCTTAAACCTCTAAAAATCTTTCCAAACCCACAATTTCTTTCATTCAATCATTCAAATCCTGTTCATTAAGATCCTAAATATCTCTAATATAGGTCACAATATGATTTTACTTAAAATTGATTCAATCTGCTAAAACTCATCATATTTTTATTTTTTATAAATATCTCAAAAACTACTGATCCAATTCAAATAATAGTTTTTATTTTGTAAAGCTTATTAAGTATTATAAAATAATCTAAAAATAGGATAATTTACTGAAAGTTATCTGTTTGACCTGTTAAAAGTTATTTGAAGGATTTATAATATAAAAAAATATTATATTATTAATATATATTATTTTAATAAAATCAAATATTTTATAAATAAAAAGATGCAATACATTGGATCTATTTATTATAGATGTAAAAAATTGAAAACTAAAATGATCAACAAATATATAAATAATAACAAAAAACTACTATTGATAATTCAATGTTATACTATATATATAAATAAAACGTCTTTTTTTAAGATTAATAACGATAATTTTACATGTAAAATAACTTGGTAATACAGTTCAAGTTTAATAATAACCAATAAAAGTCATTTAATTTTGATGGGACGCTGATTTTACTTGATCATTTTTTTTACACTTTATAATTAAAAAAATTGGATAATTCAATTTTGTCAGCAAACTTTCCTTGGTTCCCTCAAACCTAAATATAAACAAACAAATTTTAGTTTTTGGGATGAGAATATAGTAAGACTTAACGACTGATAACGGAACACATATCACGAGCAAAATAAATAAAATAATTACATTAAACTAAATACAGTCTCTTCTTGCTTAAAATGTCAACTTCGTTACCTCTTTCCAATATTCATTCCTCTTCTCATTCCACCATGAAATTTCACAGAGTGTCACGTTCTAGTTCCAGTAATAATTTTAATCCTTCTGACACATGGCCGATCCATTTCATGTGTTTTGATTTGTTCTTTTTTTCCTCAACAAATAGCCACTTCAAAAATACCACAAACGCGTGGTATAGGACTCATGGATACCATACTCCCTTTGACATTTGGCTTATCTTACAATGGGTAATATTATTGATACTCGTTATAGGGTACTTTGAGTTTTCACTAAAATTTATAGTCGAAGACGAAAAGTATAAAGCTCAAGCATTTTTCAAGGAGGACGTTGATGTTTATAATGTTCAAAGGAGGAGGTCAACTTGGAGTTTTTTAGGATTCATTTTTTCTTTTATTGCAATTTTTACCAGCATAAAAGTCTCTTTAACTGATACAGCAGATTCGCTTGTGATGAAAGAAGGGAAGGAGAGAGACATGACATACTCGAGGACGAAAGGAATTCCAGTTGTTGTAGACGGCTGGTGCTGTATTTGCAGATCTAATGTGTTAGTATAAAAGATTTAATATGTATCATATATATTTTTTTTTGTTAATCTTTAATTTAGTGAAAATGTTCAATTTATAGAGAATCAGGTACAAGGCATTGTAAATATTGTAACAAGGTAATTGATAATCAGGATGATTAATCGAAAAAATACTCGGAATGCTTTCTTAATTTTTCTTTTTCTCTTTTTCTCAAGTGTGTACAAGGTTTCGATCATCATTGTCGATGGCTAAATTGCTGTATCGCGGAAGCCAATTACAGAACGTTCATAATATTCATAATATCTTCTCTTTCCGTTTCCATCATGAGCCTTTGGCTCGCGCTTTGCGCTATTAATTTATATTTTGGCGCGGAAACGGATGATGATTACTTAATGAATCGTATGTATTAAGCGTGAAAGACGTGTAATTTTAATGTAAAACTAACTTTGTGGTTATATTTTAAATCTTTAGTTTATAAAATATTTCCTCCATCAACTCCTCATATCATAAATTTTGGCTTATTTATTAATTTTATCCTAATATTAGTAAGTTTCGGTGTTGTATCGTTTGTTGGTCATTTATTATTCTTTCACTTGAGACTATGTAAGTATTCTTCATATATGAATATTTTGTTTGGATATCAGGTTTATAATAATTTTTCGAATTTTTGGGTTTTTTATTTTTATGTATGTATATGAAAAAGATTTAATGGACATGACAACAGTAGAATATTTGAGCCATCAACAACAAAGGAGGTATTATAGTGATCATTATGAAGATGAAGATGATGAGAATCCATGGAGAAGACCTTATTACCCTAATCCATGGAAACGAAGAATCATGGGAATAATTAGAAAATTTTACATGGTGAGCGAACGCTGCCTTTTTATAATGGATCATAATTGTCATTTTTTCTAACGATATTGTATACATTAGTTGACACGATTCTGCAAGAGAAAAAGTAAGTATCAAGGAAGAGATTCAAGTTATGGATTTGATATACATAGTGTATAACTCTCACTGGATGAGAGCAGGAAATTTTATTGTGGGGTGTATATGGGATAAGACTTTTTTTTTTTTAATAGATTTAATTATTTCTCGCAGGACGAGATAAAAAATTTTTTTTTATTTGTTTTGGTGTGAAATTAATATTAATTTTTCTCAGAGTTCCTATTCCGCAAAAAATCATTGTTACAAATTAGAAATAGAGATAATGTTTATTTATATATTTTATGAAATGAGTAATTCCAACAATTATTTTTTGTTTATTAGCAATGTCCATGACCCGTCCAATTAACTAAGCTTCAGTGTCTTTAACAACTCCCACTTGAGGAGGTCTAATGACTCTTCCAAATAAAGTGTAACCAACTTTTTGTACATTAAAAATGACTCCAGGTTCTTTATCAGGAATATTGGCTTGATAAACTGCTTCATGAACATTAGGATCAAATTTTTCACCTAAAGGATTAATTTGTTCAACACCATGTCTCTTTAAGGTTGTTAATAAATCCGTTTCAGTTAACGAAACCCCAGTATATAAATTAACCAAATGAGGATTATTTTGAGTATCATTGCGAACTTCAGCAGGAACAGAAGACAAAGCTAAACTTAAAACATCAACTGTATTAATTAAATCTTTGGCGAATTTTTGTATGGCAAATTGAGCGGTCTGCTCTATTTCTCTACGCGTTCGTTCTCGTAAATTTTCCATATCTGCTAAACATCGAAGATAACTATCCTAAAATAAATAATTCATTTAATTGTTTTATTTTTAAAAAAAAAAATAAATTGAGAAAAATTAATTAATTAGATACCTTAAGTTCGGCAATTTGCTTTTCTTTTAGATCAACTACCGTAGTAGAAGCATCGGTTCCTTCCGGAGCGCCAGTTTCACTAGCAATTTTTTCATTATTATTATTATTACTATTTTCTTTGATATTAGTATGGTTAATACCTGTTGTAAATGATGATAATGTTCTTTGTAGTGGTGTTGTCATTCCCCCTCTTATTGTGGAAGATAACAATAAAGAGCGAGTAGCTCTATTGTATAACTCTTTACGAAATAACGATAAAGAGAATGACATGAGTGAGATCGAAAAGGTGTGAAGAAGATGGATAAAAAAAATAATATGCATATATATATTATTTTTTACATTTGTTAAATGGCGCAGTAAGCACGGCTAACTAAATTTTTATTGATTATCTATAAAAAAAAGTATCTAAACTAAAATCTAAGAAAATTATTTGGAAATATTGGCCCAGTAGAATTTATGGCTTAGAACCAAAGGACAGGAAACAATTGATCATTTGGACTAACCAAACCCAGATAACAATGTCTCAATTAAAATAAAATAATAAGGAAAAAAAAAAATTTTTTTTATTGTATGGGCAAAAAATAATTTAGGTAAAGATATATATCATAAATATCATATCATTTGTAATTAATTAATTAATTATTTATTTATATATTTATATTATTTATTTCAAATAAATCGCTGCGCCATAAATAAAATCGATTAAAAATCGATTAGTCGAAACCGAAAATCTAATGTTAGTAATCTGAAACTTTTTGAGGAACGATTTAATCGCGATTAATTGAATAAATTGAATTTCTAAAATCGAACTTCAAAAAATTTTTTTGAATCCCCTTAGATTAAAAGGTTATGTCGTGAAACATATAAAGGTTGATCTGTTACGAATTTGTCCTATTACATAATATTTTGAAACATTAAAAAATTATATAAACGACACAAGTGTCTTACTTGGGCTATCAAAAAAAAAATAATTATACTTTCCAATCTCAATAATTTTACATTGGCATAAATACAAATCCACAAAAGTTTCTTTTTTAGGTTTAATTAATGGGACCCATGATGATGGCCACTGCATCCGAACCTGAACAACCGCCACAACAAAACGGACATAACGAATCACGCGATTCACGAACAACGCTCGAATTAACTATAGACAATCTCCTTACCAAAATATGGGAGATAATGGTGCAATTAAATGATTATAATCCAGAAAATAAATGGGCATTATCTAAAAACTTGTATGTTTTGATTTTCTCAAATTTTTTTTTATTTGTATTCAAGAAAATGTAATTTCTCTCGATTTTATTTTCACGACAGGTCTGAATTGGCTGATCAATTTGATAAAATACACAAGCTTCAAGAGAAAATTAAACATATTGAGGTGCCATTAGAAGTGATAGAGTAATAAAACTTATTGAATAATCCCTTTCAAATTTTTTTTTTTTTTTTGTTGTCTAATCTCTTTTTTATTATTATTAAATAAATACAGATATATCGACGAAGGACGTAATCCTGATAAGTTTATGGTAGATTATGTAGATGAAGTGATTAAGGAAAATGAATCAGTGAATATAAAAAACGAAGCAATACAAGTAATAAGTATATTGATTTATAAAAGCAATTCAATTCTTTTAATGAAATTTTCTATACAATTGATATTAATTCGCTCCACTTCTTATGAACTGTCAGAATTTTTCAGAGTTACTTCTTGAACAGCTCCAGGAATCATTTCCAGAACAAACAGACTGTTATAAACAATATCAATCAAGCAAATCTAAAAAAACAAATGGACATTAATAAGTAATATTGACATATTTCCATTACTAGCTAGAAAACATATATATAACTATATAGTTTTGGTTATCAAAAACTCAAATTTTTATTAAAATAGATTTGTCCAAAAGAAAAGAAAAATTACAAGATCAAGACAAAAAACAAATCTAATGATTATTTTGATCCCGCATCATATCTAACATATCTTTAAGAGCTAATCTAGTCTTATCTTCGTTCCACCCATCATATTCAATCCCATCATCCTCATCTATTTTTTGAAATAATATCATAATTAGACACAAATTACAAACGATATAACACAATAAATACATAAATACTCACCTATTTCATGATCATTATCACTTTCATAAGTAGTCAGAATTCGAATTTTTTCGTCCTCTCTATCTATCGAAATTAAATCCATCATTTCTTCATCTTGATCCATATCATAGTCCTCCTCATCCAATCTTTGTAACTTGCGTAATGCATTGTCTAAATTGTTATCTTTGGTTTTAAATTCTAAAGAACTTTCCGTTGTTTCAGAATCTTGTAGCAAACTTCTATTTGATAATTCTAATGCTGTAAAAATGGATTCTCGCATTTCAGATATATCCGGCGATGACAATGTTAACGAATCAAATGATTCTGTTGCATCATTTCCTTCTCGTTCTAATGGTTCCTGGTTAACCGGGTCACTCGATAAAGAAATGGGTGAACCTTTCAAAGGTGATGATGACCCTTTTTCCTCAACTTCATACATGGACTGTGTCAATGGACTATGTCATCAATAGATGGATTTGTTTAGGAAAATCCACTTCAAAAAATCAATTAACTTACCGGTAAAAGACTATCCGCATAATCTAAACAAGAATTTTGTGATTCCTCGACAGTTGTTCCTTTCATATCGCTTAACATTTGAACGAGTACTTCTTCTTCAGACTTTGCCTTTGCATATTGTTCATTAAATTCTAACCACAAAGACTTCAAATCTTCGTATTCTTTTGTAAGATAGCTTTCTAATTCAGTGAATTCATTCCTAAAAATATATTATTAAAATAGTGAATTAAATTATATTGAAAAGCATTAAAAGATAAAGATTATCAAAATTTGTAAGAATATATATATACATATCTTTTTTCCTCTTATTTAGTACCTTGATAATCTTGAGTTCAAAGGTTGTGTAGCATTACGAAAGCGCATTCGTGAAGCTCTTTCTTGTGGCATTACTTAAATTCACGAATTAAAAATATGATTATTTCAAATTTAATGTATTTATAATAATTATTTAATATCACAGAAATCAGTTACCAATTTAGAAAGTCACATTTTATGTCATTCTATATTCGATTGATACCTTTGATAGACATCTAGTAGAACAACGTGCGCGAACCTAGAAGTTGGTTTAATTTCTAATAGGTTACCAAAAAAAAAAAAAAAAAGTGTATCGCATGTAACATTTTTCGTTAACATCAAAAAAAAGAAGTTACCATAACGGTATTTCGCTTTTAATATATATATAACTCGTAAAAAATTTTGGATCTCAATCTAATAAAGGTGTAACGAAGATAAGAGATAGATAATAATGTCAGACTCTTTCTTCGGCTTTGATACTACCCTGCCCCCATTAAACTCTGATCAATTAACCGGATTAGAAGAAAATACTGGTGGACAAAACGACGAGACCGAGGAGGAGGACTTGGAGAGGAAATTTAAAGAGTTCTCTCTCCTTCCAGAAGAGGATTTTCGGGCTTTTGACGATGAACAAAATTTTGATTTGAGTGCACAACTAGAAGAGACAAGGGACGATTTCAACGACGAAACTTTTGGAAATGTTGGTGACATGGGTGCGTGTGGGGGGTTTTTTTTTAGTTGTTTCTATTGTGTATTCTGCAAATTTTTATCCATTTTTAAAATTTAGATCACCTTGCTTTTGAGTTTGAGCTCTTAAAATTCAAAAGCATTTAATCTGATTTCATTTCGTTATGCATTTCAATGTTTTAGGTCAAGATTTTGATTATATGAAAAGTACCGCGAAAATAGTGGATACAATACAAAAAGAAGAAGAAATTTATGTTACTCGAAGGGAAAGTAATAATAATTCAGAAAATTATGATGGTATGGCATGTATTCTTATTTTATCGCGTTTTTGATTTTATTTCTGATCTGATTTGATGTTGTAAACTAATGAATAGTGAATCTTTGACTTGAAAAAATTTTCTAGAGCAAGCCAAGCGTAGACCATCTTATGCCGCTTTATGGGGAAATGATTCAGACGGTATGATTAATGGTAATGGAAAAGGTGTCCATTCAAATGAAGCAGTAATTACGTCGCCACCATCACAACCACAACCATTACCAGAGGTATATATTTTATATATATATATATATATATATATATATTCATTTAATTTTTTTTAAAAAAAAGAAATAATTCAGTCAATTTATCACTGTCTAATTATAATTTATAATGATTTAGTCACCCATAAGTCCCTCGATATGGGGATCATTTCATTCGCCATCAAATCGTAAAGGTGTGATTCAAATCATTGAATATATTTTTTTAACAGAAATTTATTTAGTGATATATATATATATATATATATATTTTTAGATTCTCTTACCCTCGTTCAAGACAATTCTAATATTTCCGGTACCTTTGAGATACCTCAACATTACACACCACCTCAGACATCTCCACCTCCCGGTTTTGGACTACCATCACATCCTTCTAATCGCATGCCAATGTCTCTTGACGAAATTGAAGCGCAATTATACAGGCAAGCTGGTTTACCAGAAAAAAGGATTTACAGTTTGGCTGAAGTCGAGGCTGCTATATTAGGCATAAATGGTCGTCCACAACAATCACAACAATTACCCATTCATCCTGCGTCGGATGCCGTTTTTAGAGAAGAAATTGCTTATCTTGAACAAGAGGCATTAATGTATAAGAGACGAGAAAAGCAACGAAAATTGGTCGAAATGGTAATTAATTTATTTTGGTATTACAATACATTTCTTTTTTTTTCGAAATTTATCATTTAAAACAATGGTATTTCCCAATCAATTCAGTCCAGATATAATGGTCTTATGACTCAAAGCGATAAAGACTTTATTAATCGAATTCAGATATCTCAACTTGTGACGGATGATCCTTATGCTGATGATTTTTACTTTCAAGTTTATACAGCTATAAGAAGCCGACAAGCACAGCCTCAAATGTCTGCATTTTCACCGCACATGGGTGGAGCTGGATTTATGGGACACGAACGAGGTAGACATCGTAGTAGGGGATCAGAAAGTGGATTATTAAAAATGCAGCAACAAGTTTTGAGGATAGTAAACGATGCCAGAAGAAAACCAAAGTTAACTCAGCGTAAGAAAGTTCGGATTATTTTTTGGATTATTATATAAAAACAATTCATTTCTCTCTTTATATATATATATATATATATATATTGTTACTTTGAGTGTTTACAATATACACACACATATATATATTTTCTTTTTCGCATTAAGTATCACTTGAAGGTGCTTTAGGTAAAATTGCACTTAATTCCGTTCGCAATCCCAGACAACTATTACAAGTTTCTTCAAAACATAATGATATACACCATCACGCGGGACCAAGTAGTGGGATTCATCAACCACACCAAAAAGTTCCATCAATTTCTTCCCATGGTATCGTAGATCATAGAAAAGTACTAAAGTCCATTGAGAATGTATACACAGCCGTGCTTGCCTTAGAGGAGTTAAGAAGGAACCAACCACCATTACCAAGGTATGCTACTGATCATGAACGGGATGTGGTCGAAAAATGGTACGTTAAACCCTTTCTTTAAGAATATATTTTTTATTCGGCGATATCTATCTAATAATTATTATTTTGGTTTAGGAATGAAGAATATACAGAATTGGCAAAGACAATGTGGGAAGAATTAAGAGTCACAGAGATGTTTGGTGTCAGGTAAATTATTATATTTTTTAGGGAAATCCATCTAGTCTAATTCACTAACTAATCTGTTTAAATTTTTTTTTTTTAAAAAATGAAAAAGTTATCCGCATCCATTTATTAGCGTACTTTCTGTTGCAAAAGGGAAAAAGGTCATTCCACGTGTGCTGCGACATTGTCTTCCCGATCAAATCCTTACGTTAATCACCATGTTGGTTGCCAATTTTGAAGCACTTGATGTTTGCAAGGGTGCGATCTGGGGACCTCAAGGAATTATTAGCCCTGTAATGTTAGAGGAAATTGAATTATTTATGAACACTGTTGTTCCACCTCTGTTGCAATTTGTAGCAGAGGCACCAATGAGAATTGTACTTGGGTTATTTGGATTGTTTATTGAAAGAAATAGCATTGTTTGGGTAGCGAGGAGTAAGGTATGATTACGGTTAAATATTTTGTATATATTTGTTATTTCAAATGTATTTGATTTTAAAGTTACAATTTTAATAAATCAAATATTAGGTATTTATATGTAACTTTACAATTTAATTTAGGTTGGGTTAGCTTTTCTAACGATGTTTTTGAGCCGTACTGAAATATTAAAACAAGGTGGTGGTACTATGCAAGGTTTACCTTTACCAGAAGAACGAGAATTGTTGCACTGGTAATTAAATACTTTTTATCCATATATTACATATATATTGATTTTATTCCGTCGCATTAATTTATTTATGACTTTATTATGATGATCATACATAGGCAAGAGTTATATAATCGACTATTTAATCTTCTGCAAAATCATTTTTTGCCATTGTTTCCCCCATTTAATATTGGATTAGACGATATGTATGTATGGCAATTTCTTGCGGCGATGGCTGTTGGTGCATCTACTGAACAGCAACATATTCTAGTAACCGAAGTGAGGTATGGAAATTTATTATGTAACATCAATTAAGTAAATATATTAATTAAATTCTCGCCTCGACAATAGGGAACGAGTGTTAGACACTGTAATGCAAGCTTCAAGACTTTCAGCTGACAAAGCATCACACAAAATTGCCAATGTTAATTTATTTTTAAACGCATTGGGACTTGACGCATCACAACTCAAAATTTAAAAAAAAATTATATAATGACAGAATTATTTGTTTATTATTTACAACCCACTAAAAAGAAAAAATAATCATAATTTACAAAACCTTTTCTGATGTATTATACAAAAGAAACCAATAAAATCAAGAGTATTTTAAAGAGTGAAGATAACAACAATCGTAATTGATTTTTCAAATATTATCGTTCATAGCATAGCGGTCATGCTTAATTTTATCACATTTTGCAGATCATTTTGCCGATCATTTGCCGATCATTTTTCATTTTA